CCAGCCTGGGCAACTTAGTGATACCCTATCTCAAAATAAAACAAAAGGAAAGGTGTAGTTCAGTGATAGAGTGATTCCCTAGCACACACAGGACCCTTGGTTCAAGGTCCAATACCACAGAAAAATAAAAATAAATAACCATATTACTAAAAGTGATCCATAGATTCAATGCAATGCAGTCTTACTGATTACTAGTGATATTCTTCACAGAACTAGAAAACAACAGTCCTAAGATTCATATGGAAGAGCAAAAGATATAAAAAGATATAGATAGCCAAAGCAATTTTGAGTAAAAAGAACAATGCTAGAGGTATGACAACACCTTATTTCAAATTAAACTACAGATCTATAGTAATAAAAACATCAAGGTACTAGCATTAAAAAAAAAAGACACATAGAATAGAATAGAAGTCACATCAATGGAATAGAATAGAAGTCACACCAACAACCTAACACAAATACAGTCATCTGATTCCTTACAAATGTGCCAAACATACATTGGAGAAAAGACAGCCTCTTAAATAAATGGTGCTGAGAAAACGGAATATCCATGTATAGAAGAATGAAACTAGATCCCTCTCTCTCACCCTGYACAAATGTCAACTCAGAATGGAGACCTAGGACAAAGACCAGAAACTTTGCAACTGCTAGAAGAAAACAAGGAAATATAGGCACAGGTAACAACTTCCTCAATAGGAACACCTATAACTTAAGTGTTATATAATGCCAGGAATTAATGGTATTAGCAGGATGGCATCAAGTGTAAAAGCTTCTGCACAGCAAAGGAAATAATTAGCAACCTGAAGAGAGAGCCTGCAGAATGGAAGAAAATCTTTACTAGCAACAACAGAGGATTAATATCCAGAATATRTAAAGAACTCAAAAACTTTAATATCAAAAGAACAAATAGCCAATTCAATAAATGGGAAAATGAACTAAAGAGACTCTTCTCAAAATAAGTATAAATGGCCACTAAATATATGAAAAAATGTTAGATACCTTTAGTTATAAGGGAAATACATATCAAAGCTACACTGAGATTCCATCTCCAATCAGAATGCCAGTGGGAATGAGGGAGAAAAAGAATCCTCATACATTGTTGGTGTGAATGTAAATGAGTATAACCACTATGGAAATCAGTATGGAGGCCCCTCAAAAAACAAAACCACCATATGGTCCAGCTATCACACTCCCTGGTATGTATTCAAAAGAATTAAAAACGGGCTGGGGATGTGGCTCAAGCAGTAACACGCTCGCCTGGCATGCGTGGGGCACTGGGTTTGATCCTCAGCACCACATAAAATAAAATTAAAATGTTGTGTCCACCGAAAACTGAAAAGTAAATATTAAAAAAATTTTCTCTCTCTCTCTCTTTAAAAAAAAAAAAGAATTAAAAACACTTTAGAGATACATGCATTGCCATGTTTTTATCAGTACAGTTCACAAGGGCCACATTATGGATCCAGCCTAGGTGTTGTCAACAGATRCACGGGTAAAGAAAAGGTGGTATATATACACAATGGAGTTTCATTCAGCCATAAGGAAGGAATGAAATTTGTCATTTGCAGGGAAATGGGTGGAACTGGAGAGCACCATGCTAAGTGTAATAAGCCAGATTCAGAAAGACAAGAGTCATGTTTTCTCTCAAAAGTGGAAGCCAGAAAGAAAAAAAAAAAAAAAAAGGATCTTGAGAGAGCAGAAGGGAGACTATTAGGGCAGAGGAAAGGGATCCGGAGACGAGAGGAGGGGATGGCAAGGGGAAGTACCAGAGCGAAATTGATCAAATTGTGTCATGTGCATATATGAATATGCCAGAATGAAACTCACTATTCTGTATAATTACTATATACCAATAAAAAAAATCAATGCATTTACAGAATAGTTAAATCTGCGTAGTGAATGCACATAATATATTTGAAAAAAGTAAGATATAGAAAAGTAGATGTTAAATTCCAAAATTGAATATAGATACATAGGTAAAGAGTAGATGCCACCCTTCTCTGGGATTATGTCTATGTAGCAAGATTTTTATTTTTATATTTTCCTGTATTTTYCATACTTTCTACGACAAATGATGTGTGTAAATATTTACGTTTTAAGAAAAATTACAGGGGCGGTCAACTGGGGAAGGACTGTATGAGCCTTGAATGTCGTTCTGAGGGTGTTTTGCTGGGGAAGGTTTGCTCAGCCTCTGGGGGATTGGAGCACAGGGCCTCATACTGCCTGTGGCCTAGAAGCTGTTTGTGGGGAAGAGTTCTCCGCTATTCTGTGCTGGTTCTTATTTGAGAGAAGTTTCCTGAGCTTATGATCTTATTTCAGATAATACAATGTGAGACCTGGTGGCAGCCTAAGAGATGTGCCAAAGCTCTGTGTGATCTCTGCTCTTGCCATGTTTATCAAACATAAATCAAGAACCTTTGGCTATATTTAGAATGTGCTAGATGATACAGGTGCATTATTTAATCGGATCCGACCACAATCTCATAAGGAAACTGAGACCTCAAGAGGCAATGCAGGCACATGGTGCTGGGTTTAGGATTGATTCCAGATCTGCGTGATTCTAGCATTCCAGCATTCTGAACCACCCTGCTCTGTGTTCTCTTAGTATTCTCACACCTGGCTTGAGTACTCACTTGGACACGSAAGCACCAGGTGATAGTCTCTTCAGCCCCCACAGTCTCAGTTTCCTTGCTTATGATAAACTTTGCCTCCCAGTGCTGTTGAGAGGAGCCCAGATCAGACCCTTAGACCTCAAACCTGAGTTAAACTAGCAGACCTCCTCACCTCACTGCACAAAGTAGGGAAGCAGATGCCCCGGGCCAGGGGATGGGGAGGYGGTACTTGTCCTCATTTGTAGAAGAGCCAGGACTTGGATCCAGGCATTCCTCCCCCTGTAAAAACGCTCTCCAGGTTCAACATAAGCAGTGGTGGCAACAGGGAAGGGACAACCTCTGGACAACTCTTCCTCCAACCTAGGGTGGGGAGGCTGGCTCCTGTCACTTCCCCAGATTCCTGTGCTGACAGCCTCTCTGGCTGGTGCCTGGGCCAGCCTCTGCTTCCCCGGGAAGAGAGGGTGGAGTTTTCAGGGAGCTGCACAGTCAGACCCGCCCTACCAGAGCAGAGGAGGCAGCCAGGGCCTGGGGGAGGCGCCTCTCCTAGCTCAGTGGGCCCTGCCTGGTACTAGGGGAGGAGCACAGGGTCCTGGAAGCTTCCCCTTGATTACCATCCCTCCTTGGTCAGAAGTATGCTCCCCCCACACCCACACCAACCCCCACCCCCCAGCAGTGTTGCAGTGGGCCTGAYGTTCATGAAATTTCTAATAATTTTTATTCTAATCTCTACCTTTTACAAATCTGTCACCATGGTTGAAAAGTAATGTTTTTCTTTTATCGTGATCATTCACAATGGAATATTTCTGTAATGTTTTCATGGACTGCCTTTTAAAAGTGTTTCTTAAAATAGGGTCGCGGGTCTGGGGATGTGGCTCAAGCGGTAGCATGCTCGCCTGGCATGCATGCAGGCCCGGGTTCGATCCTCAGCACCACATACCAACAAAGATGTTGTGTCCACCAAAAACTAAAAAATAAATATTAAAACACTCTCTCTCTCTCTCTCTCTCTCTTTAAAATAGGGTTGAGAATATCTCCCTCCCTTTTCTTTTTAGACTGTCTTGAAAAGCTACAATTGGGCTCACACACACACCCCTCCCCCGCCCCCATCTTGGTCCATCTGACCAGAGCCAGACCCTGACCAACTTTTCCCTTGTCTTGGCTGAAAGGAATGATTTAAAAGTGTGTGTGTGTGTGTGTGTGTGTGTGTGTGTGTGTGTGTGTGAGAGAGAGAGAGAGAGAGAGAGAGATCTTAAGACAGCATCATTTCCCCTTCCCCTACCCTGGAAGAATTATTCTCAAGTTTCTCTTACTGTGTTTTGGAAGGTTAAAATGCCCTCCATTTTATAAAGTGATAGTGACAATCTACAAATAATTTCTTTCAACATCCTTGCTTGCCAACCCCTGTCAACTCTCCCATTTAAAAACTGCTTGGATTAGGGTGGAGCTCAGTGGTAGAGTGCTTCCCTTTCATGTACAAGGCCCAGGGTTCCATCCTCCATACTGGAAGAAAGAAAAAAAAGAGAAAAACAAACCTCATTCATGCCATCTGGGCCGCACTGGCACTGCAGCGTGATGTAGAGAACCCTTTTGCATCAAGAACTTCTTGATCTCAGATTCAGCCTCCAATTGCCAAGGGTGGCTAAAATGTCTACTAGGTGAGGCTCAGAAATTGGGCCCTGCCAGCTGTCTCCTAAGCCACCTTGACCAAGTCATAACCTCACTCAGTCTCGGCCTCTCATTTTTAAATTGGTGATACTCATACCCATTATGTTCTAAAAATTAAGAGAGGATAGGCAAGACCGCACAGCATCCTGAGTATCCTATCTCACTCCCACACAGCAAGGTAAGTAGGATGCTCCCCATTTCATAGTGGCAGAAGCAGCCCCTTTGGATGGAGAATAAGCACAGGGCGTGGGTTTCTGATGCTCTGCCTACAATACCACATCACTCTGAAGGGAACTTGGATAGAAGCTGAGGTAGCCACAGACCCTGAGAGGATTGGAAGTTTTAGGACACCTTAAGACAATAGCTAGGAAACCGTAACAGCCAAATCCCAGGAGAGGGAGAACGTGGGCAAGGCTGTGCCTTAAGACAACAGCAGGATCCAGGCTGCAAGAATGAGGGAAGGTCAACCAGCATCAACCAGCATTCTCACGGAGGGCTGCCTGGGCAATGATGAGAAATCACACCCCAGAAACCCCTCCCAGGGCCAAGGGAGCACCACCTGAGGTTTGTGAAGAAGCAAGGAGCCTAAATGGACCAGGCATGGGCAAGGTCTACTGTAATTAGGGTCCTGTCCTGTCTCTGAAAGAATCTCACTGCAGTATCCATCCTCATGTTGACCTCCCACTCAAGACCCTCACCACAGTGTCATCTCATTTCTTCCAGAGGCACSAAGAACCAGATCATCCACCCAAACCAGAACCACAAGAATTGGATCTCCTTAATAAGGACACAGGTGAGTYGCCAGCCCCATAAATTCTCCCACTGACACTCATGAGGTATCTACCTTATAATCAACAAAGCTGATCAAGCTACTTAAATAGCCCATGATATCCTTGGTAGGTGATGTTAACAGGAGTATCCATCTAAAATCAGGGAGTGATAATCCTGATCTGTGTTTTCCTGTCCTTAATTGTTGGTACCACACCTAGCATGCTATGTGCATTGCTGGAAAATAAATTTTCAGAGGGATTCAGGTAAATTGGAGGTAATATAGTGGAGCAAAATTAGGCTGGTAAAGAATCTGGAAAAYATGTCTCATAAGGAACAGTTGAAGAAACCCAGAACATTCCACCCTTAAAGAAAACAATAGTTTTCCCAGTTGTCAGAAGTGCCCTGATAGAGAAGAAAGATAAGCTTTGTTTAGTGTGAGCAGAGGTCAGCTCTGAGCCTCGAGATTGTAACATCATGCACAACAAAATCAGCCCAGTGTCAAAGAATTGTTTGTGTGGTTGTTGGTTTAAAACCCCCAGAGCTACCTGGTAATCCGATGAGCTCCCCGTCTCTGAGGTGTTTAATTACAGCGTGGAGGTTGTTAGTGATACTGTGGATGAAGTTTGAGTACCAGATACACCATTGGACCAGACTTCAGAGGTTCTACAATCTGACTCTATAAAAATAAGCTGGAGAACATCAAAGAGAAAGATTCTGTGCACTCCCCACAAATGAATCAGAATCTTGGGGATTGGAGCTGAAGAATCTTTAGTTTTAGTAAGAGTATTTTTTTTAAACTAAGTTTCTCTTCAGCTGGGGTTTAAGATTGAGCTCATGGACCAACATTTGAGCCAGATGTTTCGAGAGAGTCTGGACTGTTTGACCTTGACCATAAATTTCAGCTAACCCCTGTCTGTCCACTCATGGTCCTTTCAGCTCAGGTCTGTGGGTCACCAACTCCTCCTTCTGCCCTATTGGATGTGACCACAGCATTGGCTTCCCCCTGGTCCTCACATTTCTAGACCTGCGCTTTGCCAGACCCTGCCTGTGAAGTTCTCAAAAAAAACAGTGCTGCCAGGCACAGTGTCACACGCCTATAATCCCAGCAGCTCCGGAGGCTGAGGAAGATCGTGAGTTCAAAGCCAGCCTCAGCAACTGCGGGGCACTGAGCAACTCAGTGAGACCCCTATTCCTAAATAAAATACAAAAATAGAGCTGGGGATGTGGCTCAGTGGTCGGGTCCCCCTGAGTTCAATCCCTGGTACCCTAAAACAAAAAAAAGCAGTGCTAATAATGTTAACACTGACAACTTCAAATGCTTGTCATGAGCACTGATGGGCATTTAGGGAAAACATCTAATGAACAATAAATAACATTCATTGAGCACCTCCAAAGGGCCTGGCATTACATTTTTGTGTGTACCAGCAGGCACAATGTGGTTGTAGTAGAAGCATTTGTGGTGCAATCAGATTTTGCAGGTTTGGACCCCTGCTTCCCTGAATGTGAACTGGGTGGTGTTGGCCAAGCTGCATGACTTCCATATGCCTCAGTCTCCACTGTGTGAAGTGGGGACAATAATTGTATCCATTACATCAGTTGTCATGAAAATTAAGTGAGTCGTACCTGTGAGATGCTTGGGATAGGCTGGGTTTGGTCAGCTACCTGCTTTTATTATTTGGGTAGCCATTGTTTTATGACTTAACAATCTCAATAGCTCCATGAGGTAGTTACCATTGTTATCCTGATTTCGTGTATTGGGTAGCTGAGGCAGGTGGGTGGGCTCTGCCTTAGATCGTGGCCAGCCTGTTGGACTCCAAGTGGCATTGGCAGMACCTATTTAGGAGTTTCCCTGAGCAAGGGTAAGCTTCCTGATTATACCTCCTTCCTGCTCAAAACTGGTCCACCTGGGGAGATGCCAAAGGTGGAGGGTCACACACTAAGATGCTCACAACCCCCAGCAGGTAAACTGAGTGACAAGGTAGCCCCTTATGTGCATCCTAAGTAGGGAAAGCTGAAGAACAGGGCAGGCTGCAGAGCCACAAGCTAGCCAAAGGAAAGGASAGCTAACCTCGGCTCCAGCCCCCGACGGACATGAAGCCATGCATCGTCAGTTCTTTGGATTGTTCGGGGAAAGCTGGAGACGAGTATTATAAGAAAAAGCTTCCCAATTATTAAATCTTGGCAACTACTGATTTTCTACTTTAGGTGTTAGTTGGAGCAAATGGAACACCTCTATGGGCCAAACTGTCCTGTGAGCTGTCATTATTATGGGGCAGATGACCACTGGCTGCTACTTTGAAGGAGGGTCTCCAAAGCCAGGCATCTTGAGGGGCTGCTGTGACTCCACTCTTAAGGTGGAAACTCTGGTTCTCATCATTTTGCCCCAGCTTTCCACACCCGCCCTGCTGGTCCTGACTCTCTCTACTTTGTGTGAATTTTTTTTTTCTTCAGCTACAGCCACTGCTGTTCAGTCACGTGCATCTGAGGAGGCTAAGCAGCATCAGAAAGACATTACCAGAATTCTCCAGCAACACGAAGAGGAAAAGAAGAAATGGGCAGAACAGGTAAGTCCCAGGAACCCCAGCCCCACTCTTTCCTGCTCTAAATCCCAGGCCTACTTTTGGCATTTATCATTATAAGTGTCCTGTACTCTTTGCCAAGAAGGGAGTCCTCGGTCAGCTGAATACATGTTTATTTCAGCCACTACATGGCAGGCACATTGGCTATGGCAGTCAGAGCAGGCAGCTGCATTCATGAAGCTGACCATTAATTTGATGAGTCAAAGTCATTGGGTCAGCTGTTGGATTATTTGCCCCTCTAGGACCGCCTCATGGTTGGACAGGGTCACTGAACTAGCTCTAGTCAATGAGCTGTGAAAGGATGAACCAGGCTGAGCATTTAACTGTGGGTTCAAGACCCTTGAGGTCTTTCTGTTTGACTAGTGGAAGGGACTGGCATTGTTTGAAATTGTGGCTCTCCGTGGACCTGATTATTTGATGCTGATCCTGGATAGCAGAGCACTGGACCACCCAACATGGACAGGGACATGTGAGAAATCAACCTTTTCTTTTCATCAGTTACGACTTCGCCCTGGTTTGTTATGACAGCATAATTTCTTCTCAGACTGAGACCAAAAGTCAGATACTAAACACAACTCCCCAGTATCATTTTACTCCAATTATAACTGCTATGAAAAGTGTAGAGGGTTGTGAATGTACATAATAGAAGCACTTAACCAAGTCTGGGCATCAGAGAAGTCCTCTGAGGAAGCAACACTGGGGCTTTAAAAATTATTTGAAGGGCTGAGGTTGTAGCTCAGCGGTAGAGCACTTGACTAGCACATGTGAGGCACTGGGTTTGATCCTCAGCACCACATAAAAATAAATAAAACTACAACTAGAAATATTTTTTTAAAAAATTATTTGAAAATGACGCCAGGCCAAGCACAGTGCCACACACTATAATCAGGAGGCTGAGACAGGAGGACACAAGTTCAAGACCAGCCTCCATAACTTAGTGAGAACCTACCTCAAAATAAAAAAACAAAAAGGGCTRAGGGTTGTACCTGGGTTCAATCTCTGGTACCACAAGAAAAAAAAWTTTGGAAATGAAACTTGAAGGATTTCCTAAATAATTACAGGCCTATAATAGTTGGATGTTAAGGTCACAAAAAATGAGGAAAGACTGAGGAACAATTCCAGATTAAAAAAAGACTGAAAAGATGTGACAACTCAATGCAACCACAGTCCAGGACTTCCCCTTCCTGGTTCCCATCTGGGCCACTAACCCTTCTCCTCACTCTGCCTCAGTTTCCTCCCCAGTGGGGAGAGGTAGAGAAAGATCTTAGGATGGAGTATACATAAGTTTTCTCTAAATCTCTCTACTGGTTATCTTTAATTATACATRGAAAACATGCTATGTACATACAAATCTTCCAAATTCTGAAACTTAGTCTCTTTTTAAAAATGGTTCTACATTTATGGACTAATTGCTCCATTAAATTGTAAGATGATTTGTTTCTAAGAAATTTCCCTCTGGGCTCCACATTCATCCAGCAGACTCACGGGGGACGACCTCTGTGCAGGAAGGGGACTGCCTGAGGCAGTAGGAGAGGTATAGGGGGATCCAATCTGGAGCCTTCCTCTAGGTGCTCCCTAGTTTGGGTGCAGTGAGCACTTGGTTTTTGAAAGTGGATTCACTWACATGTCTGTGGGTCTTTGGTTTGTTTTGGTAGAGTAACATCCTTAACCACGAGATGAGTAAGTGTCCCTAGGGATCATCAAGTTGGGTCTCCTCAAGGTACAGACAGTGAGCTAGTTAATGCCTGAGGGGAAAAGGATCTGGTCCCAAGGCACAGGGGAACTGCGGCAAGGCTGGGACTGGAGGCCCCTTTCAGCTAGGCCTTGCCTCAGGGTGTGTCCATCTGCTGTGCCCTTACAAAAGATAAACTGGAGAACATCTCAAGGACAGGACAGTGAGAATGGCCCAGAGTGTTCAAAGCCTGGAGAAGGGAAGCGTTCAGAACATGGCTATTGTGCTCAGATCTCCGAGGGGCTGCCTGGGCTCAGGAGCAATCTGGTCCTGTGTAACCCCAGGTCTGGGACCTGATGGCTTTCCATGGAGGGAGTGGGGCTCTGATCACCAGCTCCACATAGCTGCAGGCTGTGAGCGGCTYAGAGATGCAGTGTGAACCCGCTGGGTCTCACTCCTGCCCGGGACCCTCTGTCCCCAGGTGGAGAAGGAGCGGACACTAGAGCTTCAGGAGAGGCTGGAAGAGCAGCGAAGAGTCCTGGAAGGAAAACACGAGGAGGCCTTGCAAGGTGAGGATGGAGACTGTCCAGTGGGGAGGTGGGGGGGAGGCAACGCGGTCGTCATGGCCACRCCCACTGCCTTTACCTGGGGCCGCGCACCTGCTCCCACCTAACAAGCAGTTAGGTGGTGGCAAAGCTGGAGTTTRTGGGGTTCTTGGCCCTAAAGAGATAATGGAGTTTTCCTTTGGGGCGTGACTTTTAAAGCCTKGCATTATGCTTTATGCTTTACTTTGCCTTATTTGAGAGTGTTTTTTTTTCCCTTTCCATTTAAAAAGTAATGCATATTCATTAAAGGAAATTTTAAAAACCTAGGCAAATAGGAGATTTTTAAAACATCCATGTTACATTTCCACACTGATGACATTTCTTACAATTTATGGTTAGCTTGAGTATTTTTTATAAATAACTCTTCTTATATAACTAAATGTGATCATCACAGAAAATTTAGAATCTATGAATTAAATGTAAAGGTCTTAGAACATAGAGATTAAGCTCTTATTCTCCAGAACCAGGGAGCTGGGTTTGAATCCTAGCCAGCTCTACCACTTACCACCTGTGTAACCTTGAAAAAAAAGTACTTCACCTTTCTCACAGGGTCTTTGTGAGAATTAAATGGTTTAATGATAGACACAGAATTTAAATCAGTGCAAGATACTTGGTAAGTACTTATGAGCACTTATTATTTTACTACTAAAAATTTAAAAATTTGATTTTTTTCCAGAGCTATCTGTTGTTATCTCTTTGACACAGATCTCTTTCATTTATTTTGCTGTACAATTTTGTATAGAATATACATATATACACACAGACTAGTATATCTGTTTTTTTCTTTCAATTGCATTAGCATCCTGTAGTTAAACTCTTCCATAAGTTTTAATAATTACATAGCATTCCAATTCCCTTATTCACTTAATTGATTCCCTTTATAATATTCAGGTAATTTCCAAATTTTTGCCATTGTTTGTAGTAGTAATGATACTTACACAGTGAACCTCATTTTGTAAAATCTTTGTAACCCCCTAGTAGAATTGGAGAGGAAAAGTGTGTGTGTGTGTGTGTGTGTGTGTGTGTGTGTGTGTGTGTTTGTGTGTGTGTGATGTTGGTAAAATAAACATAAGATTTACCATTACTGAATGCCATGCAAGCATCATGCTATCTAGTTCCAGAACATTCTTGTCACCCCAGAAGGGAACCCCACACCCACAAGCCCATTATGTCTTATCATCCTGCCAACCTCCTCTGGCAAGCAATTATCTCCTGTCTCCATGGCCTGGTCCATTCTGGGCACTCTTAAAATGGAATTGTGCAACTTGTAGMCTCTCACATCTGGCTTCTTTCGCTCAGCATGGGGTTTCCAAGGCTCATCCATGTTGCAGCAAGCATCTGCTCCCCATTCCTTTTCAGAGCTGAATGTTACTCCATTGAAAGGACACACCATACTTTGTTCATCCATTCATCAGTTGAAGGACATCAGTTGCTTCCACCCTCCAACCACTATAAATAGTGTGCTAGTGCAAGCACCTGCTTGAGCTATTCTCAGATCCCCTGGGTGTACACCCAGAAACAGAATTGCTGGGTCATATGGTATTTCTACATTGAACTTTTTGAGAAACCACCACACTGTTTTCCACAGTGGCTATACTACTTTTTTTGTTCCCACCAGCAAGGAGTGGGTTTCAATTGTTCTGTGTCCTTCCCAACATTTGTTATTTTCCATTGTTGACACCCCGATGAATGTGAAGTGGTATCTCATTGTGGCTTTGATTGGCATTTCCATAATGACTAATTTTGTTAGGMATCTTTTCATGTACTTGTTGGCCATTCATATATCTTCTTGGAATTTTCCATTATTATTGCCATCCTAGCATGTCTGAAGTGGTATCTCATTGTGGTTTTGATTTGCATTTCCTAGAGGGCAATTTCATTGATCATCTTTTCATGTGCTTGTTGGCAATTTGTGTGTCTTCTTTGGAAACAGCTATCTATCTTTTGGCAATATTAAAATTTACCTTGAAAATGCCATACTGATTTTTTTATTTTCATCATCAGTATTTGCATAATATTTCCCCAGAATTATCTATCCTTTTCTTCTTTTAAGAAAGAGGGGTCCCAATTTTTTGACAAATTTATTGACTGGGGTCCCCACATTTGATGATCTTAAGGTCAAAAAAGTTTTTTATTGGTGCATATTAATTACCTAGAATAGTGGGTTTCATTGTGGCATATTTGTATATATATAACATAATTTGTTCAATCTCCTTCCTCAGTCCCTCCCCTTTCCTTCCCTTCACCCTCCGGAATCCCCTTTCTCTGCCTTAATGGTCTCCCTTCTATTTTCATGAGATAACTTCTTTTTCTTTCTTTCCCTCCTGCTTTCACATGTGAGAGAAAATATACAACATTTGTCTTTCTGATTCTGATTTATTTCACCTCACATGATATTCTCTAGTCCCATCCATTTTCCTACAAATGACATGATTTCAAGTCCTTCTTTATGACTGACTAAAACTCTATTTTGTATATATACATTTGGGAATTGAACCCATTACCACTGCACTACCGAAGAGCTATTTCTCCAGCCCTTTTTATTTTTTAATTTTGTGACAAGTTCTCACTAAGTCACTGAGGCTGGCCTTGAACTTGCAATCCCCCTGCTTCCAGAGTCCCTAGGAATACAGGCATGTGCCACTACACCTGGCTATATATGCATTTTATTTATCCATTGATCTGTTGACTGATACCCAGGCCAATTCCATACAAGTACACTGCTTTGAGATCTTTTGAATAAATACTGAGGAGTGTTTTATCTGAATTATATGGCAGTTGCATTTTTTAGTTTTCTGAGGAGCCTACAGATTTCCATGTTGGCTGTACTAATTTACATGTACACCAACAGCATATCAGAGCTCCTTTTTCCTGCATTCTCACCAGCATATACTGTTATTTGTATTCTTGATGATTGTCATTCTGACTAGAATGAGATGGAATCTCAGTATGGTTTTGATGTGCATTTCCCTGGTGGCTAAAGATGTTGAACTTTTTTCCCATATATTTGTTGGCCATTTGTATTTCCTTTTTTTTTTTTTTTGAAAAGTGTCTCTTTAGTTCATTTGCTCATTTATTGAATGGGTTATTTGTTCTTTGATTTTAGGATATTTGAGTTCTTTATATATTCTGGATGTTAATCCTCTGTTGGGACAGTACCTAGCAAAGATTGTTCTCCCATTCTGTAGGCTCTGTCTTCACAGTGTTAAGCTTTTTCATCTGATGCCATCCTATTTAATACTTTCTAAGCTTGTAGGAGTCCTTTTGAAAAAGTTGTTGCCTGCATCCATGTGTTAGAATATTTCTCCTATGTTTTCTTCTAGCAGTTGAAAAATGTCTGGAAACACACACAAACACTTTTTTCCTGAGACCTAGATTGGCCTCAAACACATGATCCTCCTTACTGAGCCTCCTGAGTAACTGGCATTACAGGCCTGCAAGCCACCATGCCTAACTAAAATTATTTATCTTCTTAAAAACACCATTATTGTTATTTTATATGTAAATTTTACATCATGCTCTTTTCATTTAACATTGTATCAAATATGTTTCCAAGCATGCTGCTACTGAAATGTTTATAAAGCTTCTTCTCAGCAAAGGAAACAATTAATAACAAGAGGACAGAGCCTACAGATTGGGAGAAAATCTTTACCACATGCACCTCTGATAAAGCATTGGTCTCTAGAATATATAAAGAACTCAAAAAAGTTAACACCAAAAAAAGAAATAACCCAGTCAATAAATGGGCTAAGGAACTGAATAGACACTTCACAGAAGAAGAAATACAATTGATCAATAAATATATGAAAAAATGTTCAACATCTCTAGCAATTAGAGAAATACAAATCAAAACTACTCTAAGATTTCATCTCACTCCTGTCAGAATGGCAATCATCAAGAACACAGACAACAATAAATGTTGGCGAGGATGTGGAGAAAAATATACACTCATACATTGCTAGTTGGACTGCAAATTAGTGCAACAACTATGGAAAGCAGTATGGAGATTCCTCAGAAAACTTAGAATGGAACCACCATTTGACCCAGCTATCCCACTCCTTAGTTTATACCCAAAGGATAAGTATACTGTAGTGACATAGCCACATCAATGTTTATAGCAGCTCAATTCACAATAGCTAGACTATCAAACCAACCTAGGTGTCCTTCAATAGATGAATGGATTAAAAAATGTGGTATATATACTCAATGGAATATTACTCAGCTTTAAAGAAGAGTGAAATTATGGCATTTGCCAGTAAATGGTTAGAATTGGAGAATATCATGCTAAGCAAAATAAGCCAATCTCACAAAACCAAAGGATGAATGTTTTCTCTAATATGCAGATGCTAGTTCACAATAAGGCGGTGGGCACTAGGAAAGAGTAGCGCTACCTTAGATTAGGTAGAGAGAAGTGATGGGAGGGGAGGGGAGGGGACGTGGGAATAGGAAAGATAGTAGAATGAAACAGACATTATTACTCTATGTTTATATGTGACTACATGACCAATATGATTCTGTAACATGTACACTCAGAAAAATGAAATTATAACCATACATTTATGATATATCAAAGTGCATAAATGCATTCTACTGTCATGTATTAAACTACTTAAAACAAATTTAAAAATTTTTTTAAAAAGATTAGACCAGGGCTGGGGATGTGGCTCAAGCGGTAGCACGCTCGCCTGGCATGCGTGCTGCCCGGGTTCGATCCTCAGCACCACATACCAACAAAGATGTTGTGTCCGCCGAGAACTAAAAATTAAATATTAAAATTCTCTCTCTCTCTCTCTCTCTCTCTCTCTCTCTCTCTCTCTCTCTCTCTCTCCTCTCTCACTCTCTCTTTAAAAAAAAAAAAAAAAAGATTAGACCATAGCACTCATGGTTTTGCTTATTTCCTATGAGTCTGGACATCTAAATTTTAGCTATTATAAATAATACTGCTCTAAATATCTTTTACATAA